AGCAGTGGGGTCACTGCGGTTATATACCACAAGGGGGCCCACTATTGGTGGGCGTACATTTAAGCTCTTCATGATTGGCTGATGCGGAGATCATCCTTCCAATAGCAGCTCGCTTAAGGGCTAAGACTAGACGAAATAGAACAATAAGGTTTAAAAAGCCCTTCACCATGGGCATATCAGGACAACACACATGAATATTAAAATCACCAACAATAAGAATACGATCATATTTTGGCATGAATTCAGCCAAAAAGTCAGCAAAATCATTCAAAAAGTTCTTATTATATTTTGGAGGGCGATAAACCAACGCACGCAACACTGTGTGAGCGCAGCCCAGCTCAAACACAGATAGATCAAAGCCGGTAAGCGACGGGGCTGGTAGCTGTTTACATCTAAAATGACTTTTAAAGATAGTGGCTATTCCTCCTCCTCGGCCCAACAAACGCGGGGAATTAAAATAGCAGCAATCGCCAGGTAGAAGATCAGAGAAGATGCTGCACTCACCGGCGCTCAGCCACGTCTCGCACACACAGAGAAAATCGAGTCCTCGGGATGTAAAAAAAATCCTTCAAAATAAATGTTTTATTCGCTAGGGACCTAGTATTTACCAGGCCAAACCTGGCAGTGAGCGGCGGGTCCCCATCACTAGCTGTCATAGAAGCCCGACACAGAGGCCGCAGGTTATGCGGATTCACACCACGCCGGCGGGGACGAGGAGGGCAGGGTTTTAGGGACTGGGGCGTCCCATCCAGGCCAAAGACAGGTACCAGCCAGGCACAGACAGGATCCAACGATCGCCGAGAGAAGCGGAGGTTAGGCGCCGCTCCTTGTTTTCTAAATAAGTGCTTGTGAGAATAGCCAAAAGAAGCTTTCAGCTTCACCAGGAAGCCGGGCCGGTGACCCCGGCGATGGTACTTATGCCGGAGAGGTGGATCTGGGACACGGCACAGGTGAGCCGGGATCTCCGATATTAGCGGGGGCAAAGTTTTATGTCCAGCTTGGTTCCATTTCGCCCAGCTTTTGGCAGAAGGTCGGAGATCCAGTAGGGATAGGCGATCATATACCAAGAGAGAGTTGGCATTTTCTACAATAGTCAATAAAATCAAAACAAACAAACATAACACTGGTAGTGACAGACAGCAAGCCACGAACACCGGCGCCATCTTGAGTCAATCACCAGCAGTCAACAGCTTTTTAGCTAGCCTGGCAAGATGAGGCAGCTCTGATGCATGGCCCCTCCACCACACCAGTGGATCATCATCAGCTAGAATGGATGGCAGAGACATGTAGACTTTGACTTCCTCCTTCACCTTATCTTCTGGGGTGGCTGGACCTGAACCCTCTTCAGTTCGCTGCTGCCTTGTTGAGGTAATCTTTTTTAGTAACCCAGCAAGGCCTTTCCCTGCTGATGCTGCTGTAGAGTTACTGCTGGTGCTTTGTGGTTCTTGCCTGACTTGTACAGGGGTCAGCTTCAAGGTCTCCTGAACACAGCGGTCAACTACATCATCCACAGGGGCATCTAAGAAGTTATTCTTGAACCTGGGGTCAATGAAACAAGCCATCTGCATGACATATTTAGCTTTCTCTGTGTACCTCTTGTTTAGGTCTTCTCTCATTGCCTGTTTCATCTGCTTGGTCAGGGCTGGTTCCTCTTCATTTTCCTCCAGGACATCACCAGTGATGTGGTCAAGGACTGGCTTAATGGCTGATAAAGTTACTCGTGTCACTGAGCAAAGTGCATTTGTAAACTTGCTCAGTGGTTCAAGGAGCTGGCAGACTTGCTCCATGATAATTATGTCAGTGTCCTTTGGCATCAGATGCCAAGCTCCTCTTTCTGCAGTCAGTGTGGCACAGACTGCCTGCTGCTGGCTGATAAACCGCTCAAGCATCTTGTATGTCGATCCCCATCGGGTCACAACGTCATGGATGAGCGCCTGCGGTGGCAAGGTGAGGGCAGCTTGCTTTTCTCTCAGTCCTCTCTTTCGCTTCCAGCTCCGTGAGAAGCTTTGGACAAGATGACGACAGGTCCTTACCGCTGTTTCAACTCCATTTATTTTCAGAGCCTTTGACATGGCCAGGTTCAAATTGTGACCAAAGCATCCAATCCACACATCTGGAAACTCTTCAAAGACCTTGGTCATGTTGGTTGCATTATCTGTGGTTATGGAGACCAGATCTGTCTTGTTTATCTCCCACTCCTCCAACATATTTTCAAAAAAATCTGGAAAAAACTGGGTTTCTAAGCAGTGTGATTCCAGTTGCCAGTCTGGGGTGAGATAATGAACTGTAAAGCTGATGTATGGTAGACCACCCCCTCTTTCACTGGTCCAGAGGTCAGTAGTGGCAGCAAAGAATTCACCCTGAGCCAAACTCTTCTTAACATCAGCTTTGACTGCATTGTACATTTTTGGGATTTCAGTCTTAGAAAAATAATTGCGTGTACTAGGCACTTTGTAATGAGGGACAGCAACCTTCATCATCCTCAGAAACCCAGGTCTCTCGACTATCCGGAAAGGCATGTCTTTTGCTATTAAATAGGCGATGGCTGCAGTCAGTTCTTGAGCCTTTTGGGATGCAGGCACATAATCGGTCTGTTTTTGGAATGCTTGCTCAAGTGTCTGTGTCACTGATGATCCAGTAGCGGTTCTCCGTTGCCTCGCTGTCTGTCCCACTGCTGCTCTCTGTAAACAAAAATGAAATATATATACAATGAGTTTGCCTATACCTTTTTTTTTGTTTTTTGTTGCTAAATCGAAAGAAAAGGATTGGCAAAAAATGTATTATCTCACAGGGCATTTTAAAGGAAGTTCAAGTACACACGTTCTGCACACGTTCCGCTGCTGTTTCCCACCAGTATCAGCTGATGCAGGGCTTTAGTTTCGTTGCGCCGTTCGTGTCAGTGGACACGGTAGGGTTGGGAAGGGGCGGGACATGACACTTAGCCTGGCGGGTGGCCAAGCAAAGCCTGGCAGGCAGCCAGGCTTATAAAGCGCTGAGGCAAACCCTGCAGCAAAATGTAAGTTGATTTTTGTGTGACTCGGTCTTTAAGAACAGCCTTTTCCTTTAATGTCCAATGTAACAAATAGGCCTATACATTTTATATACATTATTTTATTCTTGGAAAAGATCCCCCAAAGTAAACTGGAAGTCAACTTTTACTTTGTAAGCAGCACATCAGCCTGCAAATTTGCGTGCACAAGAAATCCATGAGAGGGCAGGCATCACAGCGGAGGACCATAAATGTTCTGTTGCACAATACACAGTATTGCTCAATCATGAATTAATTTGAAGCATAACACTGCTTATTTGTTTCTTTGGAGTTAAGCAGCTAAAACTTGTCCTTAATAAAATTGTCAAACGATCGAGTTTATTGAAGAAGTGCTGCTCAACTGGTTGTAACGGCACCTCAGCTTTATACACCTGATTCACAGACTGACACCAATGCTGCTGACAGTAAAATGCTTAAGCAGTCAAAACAGGAGAATCTAACAGACTTTTATGGTCGCTAACTTACTAAAATAGCATGTTTCAAGCACCTGGCGACAGCAACCAGGTTGACGCTTAAAACATGGGTTTTACAAATGTTCCTTGAAAGTGAGCACTTAAGGCTGGGGCTCACCAGAGACACGCGCCGTCATTTTGAATAGAAGCTATTATAGTTACTGAGAGTGGCTACGCGGGGAGCACCGCGCCGAGGCGCTGAAGATAGGCATCAGTTCTCTTTCAAGCGCCACGCCACGGTGGCGCAACAGCTGTTTACAAGATTGTGGAGTACTTTACAACAGACATTTACAACGGCTTTACGGCACAAACCCAACCCAAATTGATTACTTTAAAGTACTAGTGATCTTAAAATATTCTAATAGTGTACTTACCCGTTTTGAATGAATTAGTCTCTCAAAACACAGCGGCAAGTCTGATCACGTAAAAACAAGAGTCACTTTCCGCTTCCTGTTTTCAAGTCTCGCGTAAGGTTGTGACTATCGCGCAACTTTCCAAGAAGCTCTCAGCGGCACGTCCTGTGTGACCATTTTACTTTTCAAAACCGCAGCGCATCTGTCTCCAGTGTGCCCCAGGCTTTACACAATCTTGTAGCATTTGTAAGAGACATTCTTCAGGTACACCACAAGTCTGTAGAAATCTCAGTGGGGTGTCAGTGTTAGTGGCCATGCGGCAGGCAAGAGATTGCAGGTGAACTGCCAGTTTTCTACCTGGGATTAGGATTTTGAATGCTATACATTTTACATCCTAAGAATAAAAACATATTTCATATCATGGGTAGCAACCTGGTCCTAGAGAGCCACTATCCAGCACATTGTTGTTGTTCAGCTGTTGTCCAGAGGGCTTTTAATGACCTGCTGATTAAAATCAGGTGTGTTGGAGCAGATTGGCCTCTAAAAAATGCTGGAGAGCAACGCTCTAGGCCCAGAGTTACCTAGCCCTGTGGCTAATCTAAAGCTATGGCTAACAGCTATTTACCATTCAAAAACTAGTCTAAACAATACAGTTCAGGTCTGCTTGTATCCAAGTGTCGTTCCTCTGGGGAAGAAGAGGGAGAAAATCATCCACTTCAAATGAGTGCTCAGAGTCCCCCCCCCCCCATTGGAGTCTCATGTTATGTGGAGGGTAACTCTGAAGTGCCTTTTTTCCCTCCACCTGAACCAATCCTCATGTAACCCTCTTATCTCTATTACGGTAGCGCGACTCGGGTTGCGAATGACCACAGTCACCAATTCTTGTCTTGTGTCTTGCCCATGTATGTCTGATCTCTGAATTGTGTGTACTGAAACTCTAATTTCCCTCTGGGATTATTAAATTATTGATTGATTGCTTAAGGTGGTCCATCCGTCCAGTTCCACTTCATATCCAACGTCAGGCCTCTGAGGTTAGAGGTCCCAGGGGAAAGCCCTGACATTCTTATTAAAGTTTTTCCACTGTGCTCATTCTTGATTTAATGTTGATAGTCAAAACCTGCTTCATATTATTGTTGTGTGTTTCAGGTTTACATGGCTTGTCAGTCCATGTTGATTGTTCTGGTTGGTTACACACCAGAGTACCGGATTGAGCATCAGAAAGACACCCCCTCCAGTCAGCTTGTCCTGCAGCAACACGTCTCCTTTACAGAGGACGTCAGCACCATAGTGACTGAGGTCAGTGAGTCAAATGCATGTTATGTCATTTTAGGACATCCGTAGAAAACCATCATCAGACATCAGATCAAATGGCCTCTGACTAAACGGCGTCAAAACAAAGCACTCAGAAGTGACTCAGAGAGAAGCATCCTGTAGGTGGCACTATCGTTGGGTTTACAGCTGAATTGTTGCCCAAGTCCATCGTCATTGTGTGGCAGATACAGAACATAAGATTCAGGCTTCTAACAATGCCACAGTAATTAGGCCCGAGCAGTGAAAGCGCTGCGAAGGCCAATTGTATCTGCTCTGTTTATATTTCTTCCACCAAGTAAATTGGCTTTTTGGAGGGCTTAACATACCCAAAAACTCAGGAATTTTTGCACACATGTCAGGCGTGGTGTAAAATTTTGTATTTTAAAGGTCCCAAAAAAATCGCAATAAAACTAGCTCCACAGTGCCCCCTAGAATGTGAAAAATACCCCCCTCCATAAACCTTAGTTTGTTGTACAGTTATGAAATGTTGTACACTTGTAGTACTCAACAGTCCGCACAGAAAAGCCTCTTGCAACCATGGTCAACATCAAACAATAAGTCGGCCATTTGGTTTGAAGTGGTGATTTTGACCCCGTTTTGGCCGTTTCTAGGGTCTGCGTCTGATTGATTTACTTGATCATTTTTCGCATGATCGTCTCGAAAGTTGTGGGAAATTGCTCAGAAGGGATGAGCAATAAAATAGAAAAAATAAAACTGACTTTTCGTATATGCTGAGGGGACGTGGCCAGGCCTCGAAGTTCGACTACTCGCCAAAAAAATATAAATGGCCATAACTTCATACTCGAATAGTTACAAAAATTTCTGTGGTCATTCAACATCCAGCCACAAACTAAACTGAATGGTCGGATGATGACATCACACAAGCCCCGCCCCCTCAGGACCAAAAAGGTCAAGCTTTACTGTGATGGGTCCCAAATCGCCCCATTTCACTTAATCACCACACATTTGTAGCTATTAACTCAAGACAAGTGGGTGTTTCTTGGCGTCACTTTATGGAAGTTTTCAATGATACTGAGGTCATTCACTGTCTTCATGATGGTGTAATGACCCTTCAGATCTGATAGCTTTCCAGAACGGGAGGGGCGTTGATGTCATGGCGAATGCTGGCGTGACGCCGTGACCTTACGTTTGCCTGTAACTTCCACAAACAGCCTCTGATCTGCACGAGACTGAACATGGCAATCAACAATCATGCTCTTTAGCCAATGAGGCCCAAACGATTGGTGAGTGTTGTATAATATCACCACAGCGCCCCCTACATACTGTAATAACTCCTACAGACGCGGTCAAAAATACACTAAACTTGCTACAAGTCATCACACAAAGGCACCCAACACAAATTGGTTGATATTGCTTTAGCTCCACCCCCTGACAGATATTATGCCCTGAATAACACATGCATGATGCACTTTACACCAAACTACACGCAAATGATTGTTGTGAACCTACAAACTGCTCCATGGGATATTTTCCTAAATTTGGGACAGCACCCCTAGATAAATTTAACCTTCAATAACTTCAAAAAACGTGGTCAGAATAGCATTAACCTTTGTCTATGTCATCACACCACCAGTGTGGTAAAGATGGAGTATCCCCTAGTGGTGAAATGTGTAATTTAATGGTGGGCTCAGATGAGATCCTGAGTCAGGGTGAGGTGCAGATGAGGAAGACCATTCATGGTATCCGGGGGCATGGTGGTCGACGTTTCTGTTCCACGGACGTGCCTGGGTGCCCCAGGCTGCCGGCCAGGTCGGAGCAGCGCGGTGCGGAGCTGCGAGGGCCGAACAACGCTGCTTGCAGCTTTAATTGTCATTGTTTTTGGATGCTTTTTAATTCTGGCCAGGCACAGAGACAGAGGTGAAAGAAAAAGGAAAAGACAAAAGGAAGAGGTTAATCAATGATGAACAAAAGTCTGCTTCTAGACCTGCAGAAAGAGAAAAACACACAACAATACAACTAGAGCAAGCTATCACTGCATCAACCTGATGAGGAAATATAAAATCAACAATGATTTACTGAACAATCAGACAATATTAAATCACAGTGCATTTAGTGCCAACCACAGCCTTAAGACGTGTGCTGAAAACGCCCAAGTCCATACTTATCAGAGCACCGTGTGAGCATCTGTGTGTGTGTACACATGCTTGAATATGTAAGGTTTCACTATAGGAGCGTCCAATAGTGAGTGTGAGGGGCCACATATCTGCCCCCCAAAGCTGTGCAGGAGATGGAGGGAGCTCCAAGTCCCAGAGATCCAGGAGCTATCCCAGAGTGCAGGGACCCCAGGGAGGCTATAACCAGAGAAGCCCCTGCCCCTCTCGAGATGCACAGAGGATTGCCCCAGGGGGCCACAACCAGCAGCCGGCAGAGTCCTGGAAGGTAACAGCGGCAAGCCCAAAGGCTCGCCCGCAGCCTCCCACCCCAAGCCGGATGAGCCAGGGACCCAGCGCCCTAGGACCCAGGGTCGACCAACCTTGCTGGGGACCCAACAGAGCCCAGGGACACAGATCGCACCAGGCAGCCCCCGAATCAATCAGACAGATGCTAAAAATCTTAAGCCCCCTGACACGGGAGCCGCGACCACGCAGGCAGGGGAGGGTAGTTAAAGATGTATAGCAGCACAAGAAGTCCCAGGAGAGGGGAGGAGTCCAAGACCCCACCTGACATATACAGTCATATATAAACACAGTCACACACTCCCTCTCTCATGCACACACATACACATACAACTGAAGACTTACAAAAATGAATGCTAGACACCCACTCACACTCCCCATACACACCCTATTCATTCTGGTTCCCGTACTGCTGCACAATGGGTACAACTGTCACTGGTTCCCAGAGTTAGCCCCTTTCTGCTGGGGTGATGATGAGCAGGCACCCCGCCCAACGCTGAGCAAAGCAACGCACCACCCCAGACCCCAGCCAGACAGCCAGTTCCCACTCCTAGCCTCCAGCCTACTACTGCCCGTAGAGGCACCACCTTTGCTCCAACTTAAGATACCCGGATGAGGACATAACACTGAAAAGCCTACAGCTAAAAATGCCGATCGAAACTAAGACAGCGCTCGGCATAATGGAAAGAAACCAAAAAACATTACTCAAAGAAAGGATAAGGAGCATCATAACCAAACAGTAACGAGTGGCAAACAAACTGGAAAAAAGACACCTGGCCTTAAAATGGATTAACAAAATTGATGAGAAAGCAAAGGAGCAAACAAAACGACACATGATGGAGCAACAAGAAAAATAATTCAACAAAGTAAAGCAAAGACACATCAAAAAGTGAAATAAACTCATTAGCAAGAAAAAGGAAAAGTTGTCACGATATTTTGAGGATTTCACCTCGATAACGATAAATGGACGATAACTACAGGTATGTGCAGAAACAAAAGTTGTCCACTAGATGGGGCTGTCCCTTGTATTACGTTAAGTCACATTTTTACGTAACTCAAGGTGGTACAGCTTCTTAAAAGGACATGAATGTTGCCAACCTACACACGTTTTCCTTTTTTATTATCAAATTTTTTTATATGGGAAAATTGACCTCGATAAGAGTCAGAAATTTTGATAACAACATTTTTTATTTATTGCCCAGCCCTACATGACAGTAAGAAAAAAGATTAGAACAACCAAAAGATAAAATATCAACAGATAAAAAATGTAGAGTTGTATACGAAATACCATAACTATAATAAATAACAAATAAATAACTCTGCAATAAAACATACATAGGAGAAACCAGACGCCAACTCAACACACGAAAAACAACATCAAAGGGAATGTGAGAGGGAAATAAGTCGAAGACACACAAGAGCAGCAATACAAGAAGCAGAAAGTACAATAAAGAAATCAGCGGTAACAGGCCACTGCACTAGGGAAAACCACATAATGTACTGGGACGGTACACGGATCACAAACACAGAACAACAAAAATATAAAAGATGGATCAAAGAAAAGATAGAGATAAGGAGGTGTGCACACAGGACCATGAACAGAGATGATGGAACATACTCATTGGATCAGGCATTGGATCAGTTGACCTTGCGGGGAATTGCTTTGCAGCACTCTGCTGCCTGCACAGAAGTTTGCATGTGGAAAACCTTTCTGACACTCCTTGTGCATCTCTCTGTTGCAGAGCTAATAGAGAAGTAAAAATCAGGTTTAAGTCTGCTGCTGAAATCTAAAAGCAGCTTTCCACCTCTGTGTTCCTCAGTGGTTTCTCATCAAGCAGCAGGCCTATAAGGTCAATCTCGCTGGGTCTCTCTTCTTCACCGGCCTCCTGGTTGGAAATGTGATCTTTGGACCTCTCTCCGACAAGATCGGCAGGAGACCAGTTTATCTGACAGGTGAGAAAAAGCACAAACTGGTTAGTCAGTGATTTCTAAACTGGAGCCACTTATTTTCAGTTTATCTGAGAGAGGCTTCTCTGTAATCCACGCCCTCTGGCCCTACAGAGCCCTCCAAATCTTTGCTAGATGACATCATGCTGCTAAACAGCAGATTCTCTTCACAAAGCTGCATCTGGAATGCTAAACTCCTGGAATGAAAAACAAAACGTGTATCTGCTGAAAAGTGGCTTTAGGGAAAAATTTTTACTAAGTAAAGCATTCAGGCCAGATAAATACAATAAAGTTTATCTCTCGCAAAATCGAATATTTACCAAGAAATCACAATGTAACCGTAGACACATTGCTGTGTGTGTGTGTGTGTGTGTGTGTGTGTGTGTGTGTGTGTGTGTGTGTGTGTGTGTGTGTGTGTGAGTGTGAGTGTGAGTGTGAGTGTGTGTGTGTGTGTGTGTGTGAGTGTGAGTGTGTGTGCGCGCTCGCGCGCTCTGTCTTCTCGATCCCCAGTGAGTCGTGGAGGATGGCTGCTTATACTGAGCCAGGATCCTCTGGAGTTTTCTTCCTGCTAAAAGGGAGTTTTCCTCTCCACAGTCGCTAAATGCTTGCTTAGTATGAGGATTGCTGTAAAGACACTGGCACTAGTCAGTGACTTGATGCAATTTGCTGAGTTCCTTATATAGGAAACCTTATTTTCTGATTGGCTTAATGAACTGACCTGTATTGGAATTTGTATTATGTTAAGTGCCTTGAGATGATTTGGCGCTATATAAATAAAATTGAATTGAATTGAACTGAATTGAATTTGTTCTGCTTGTGGCCGATGTCAACTTCCAGGCAAACCCAACAGTTCTGTTTTCTAAAGCTTTATAAAATGAACTCCAAAGACACAGGCAGTGGGATTAAAAAGGTTTGGTCACACACACAAAAACAGGAGTAAAAGCATCCATTTATTATCCAGTAATTTCCAGGAACCAAATTCAACAAGTTTCTAATGTGGATGTGTTCTCTACAGCATTTCCCGTTTAATATGGGCTTTAATTATTTGTTGTTAATGAATTTTATGCCCGTTTGCTGCCAACTTTCTAAACTAAGCAGATTACCTGAATGGGGTTAAAAAGAGTTTTATGAAATTTAATTTAAATACAGGGTTGGTCATTTATATGGATATACCTTAATAAAATGGGAAAGGTTGGTGACATTAATGTCCTTTTTGTGGCACATTAGTATATGTGAGGGGGCAAACTTTTCAAGATGGGTGGTGACTATTGTGGCAATTTTGAAGTTGGCCATCTTGGATCCAACTTTTGTTTTTTCAAAAGAAAGAGGGTCATGTGACACATCAAACTTTTTGGTAATTTCACAAGAAAACAATGGTGTGCTTGGTTTGAATGTAACTTTATTCTTTCATGAGTAATTTAAAAGTTTCTGACCACTTATAAAATGTGTTCAATGTGCTGCCCATTGTGTTGGATTGCCAATGCAACCCTCTTCTCTCACTCTTCACACACTGATAGCAACACCGCAGGAGAAATGCCTGTACAGGCTTCCAGTATCCATAGTCTCAGATGCTGCACATATTGTTTCTTCACACCATGGACAGTTGCCTTCAGATGACCCCAAAGATAAAAGTCTAAGGGGGTCAGATCGGGAGACCTTGGGGACCATTCAACTGGCCCACGATGACCAATCCACTTTACAGGAAACTGTTCATCTAGAAATGCTTGGACCTGACACCCATAATGTGGTGGTGCACCATCTTGCTGGAAAAACTCGGGGAATGTGCCAGCTTCAGTGCATAAAGAGGGAAACACATCATCATGTAGCAATTTCAAATATGAAGTGGCCTTGAGCTTTCCATTGATGATGAATGGCCCCACTGTCTTTGGACCCCATATACCACACCATACCATCACTTGTTTTGTTCCAACAGTCTTAGAGGGATTTATCTAATGTGGGTTAGTGTCAGACCAATAGTGGTGGTTTTGTTAACTTCACCATTCACATAAAAGTTTGCCTCATCACTGAACAAAATCTTCTGCGTGAACTGAGGGTCCTGTTCCAATTTTTGTTTTGCCCTTTCTGCAAATTCTGTGTGCCGATCTGGGTCATCCTCATTGAGATGCTGCAGTAGTTGGAGTTTGTAAGGGTGCCATTTGTGAGTAGCTAATATCCGCTGAAGGGATGTTCGACTAATGCCACTCTCCAGTGACATGCGGCAAGTGGTACGCTGTGAGTTCTTGCTGAATGAAGCTAGGACAGCCACTGATGTTTCTTCATTAGTGACAGTTTTCATGTGTCCACATTTTGGCAAATCCAACACTGAACCAGTTTCACGAAATTTAGCAAGCGGTTTGCTAACTGTAGCATGGGAGATGGGTGGTCTCGTAGGGTGTCTTGCATTGAAGTCTGCTGCAAAGACCTGGTTACTGCGTTCACCAGATATCAACCCAATTTGGATCCGCTCCTCACGTGTTAACCTCTTCGACACGTCAATGGCTGTGAACAAAGAGAAACTTGTAAATAACTCATGAACGAATAAAGTTATGTTCAAAGCAAGCACACCATTCTTTTCTTGTGAAATTACCAATAAGTTTGATGTGTCACATGACCCTCTTTCTGTTGGAGAAAAAAAAGTTGGATCCAAAATGGCCACCATGGTTACCACCCATCTTGAAAAGTTTGCCCCCTCACATATACTAATGTGCCACAAACAGGACGTTAATATCACCAACCATTCCCGTTTTATTTAGGTGTATCCATGTAAATGGCCCACCCTGTAGAAATGCAGAAAATATTTTAAACATATATTTTCATAAAGTTAATAACTCATTATTGTATAATTATTTGCATTTGTGTGTTTTGGTGCTGTAATAAGTCACAGGTCTATTTACAGTGAGAATAAACTCTTGTACCTGCTTCAGCAATCAGGGGACAAAACTGCTTTAACATTTGCAACATGTCCCAACTCATTCAGCAGAAACATACATTTAAATGTTATAATCCACATTAATCCTCCTCTCCTGATCATTTCTCTTCTCAGGTTTGTTTTTTGAGGTGATCTTTGGTTATCTGACTGCCTTTGCACCCAGCTATGAGGTCTTTGCCGCATCGCGTCTTTTGGTGGGTCTGATGAACGGCGGCATTGGCCTTGTTTGCTTCGTCCTCACTCAGGAGTACGTGGGGAAGTCCTACTGGGCCATGACCGGTAGGAAAACAACAGATTCATGTTGGTATAATAATATATGTTGGCTTAGTCTGAAACAAAACATTATCATCACAGCTGTGGCTTCAGAAATCTACAAAAACAAATGGGTATCAGAGTGAGGAACAAAGACGGGAAGCTACATCTTCACTGCAAGATATAAACTTGTTTTAACAAGAAAGTTTCTCATAAGATTAAAACCTCTTATTATGAGCCCCTTTTATGCCTTTTTAGGAAACAATTTGTCAGAGGAAGATACTTTTGCAGACTGTAGTGAAGCTGTCTTCCATTTTAAAAACACCTACCGTATTTTCCGGAGTATAAGTCGCACCAGCCATTAAATGTATAATGAAGAAGAAAAAAACATACATAAGTGGCACTGGACTATAAGTCGCATTTTGGGGGGACATTTTATTATTTTTCGTACAAAATCTGAGATCAAGCATTTCACATTGCAAGACAAGTACCGGTAACAATAACAGAATAAATAATCAGGGTGCAGCAGTGCGCCACGGTCTCCAGCAGAGGATGGCGGTGTTTCAAACCCTCCCAGCAGGCGGGGAGAGCGCCCGCAGCACCCCGCCACAGGCTGCAGCAGTTGATGGCGGTGTTTGAAACCCTCCCAGCGGGTCGGAGGAGCTGAAACCTGGACCGGAGCCGGCCCACAGCAGCGCGCAACGGTCTTCAGCAGGTAATGGCTGGGCAGGGGAGCTCATTCCTGGTCCGGAGCCGGCCCACAGCTGCGCGGTATACATAATTTGGTATATAAGTCACTTTGGTATATAAGTCGAAGGACCAGCCAGACTATGAAAAAAAGTGCAACATATAGTCCGGAAAATACGGTATATATATATACAGTATATATATGTACAATCACTAGTAACTTTATAGGGTACACCTATCTAACTGCTCGTTAATGTAAATTACTAATCAGCCAATCACATGGTGGCAACTTAATGCATGTTAACTAGGGCCTGACCAATATGCTTTTTTTGGGACAGATACCGATATAAAACTTTTAACAAAGGCCGATAGCTGATATAATGGCCTATAAATCTCCCTCACAAATAAAAATGAATTAAAAACAAAAATTTTCTTAAGCTTTTAAGGTTTTCTCATTTAGTATTCAAGTCTTATTTTTTTTTTCCTTCCACTGAATTTTCTACTCCTTTTGTTGTCAGTTTTTTTTCTAGTTATTCTTCTTTCCCTTTTAGGTTTGTTTCTTCTTTTAAATAATTTTCATTTATAGTTCCTCCCATGTCTTGGCATGTCTTGGACACTCGGGTGGAGAGGGGCGGAGCTGTCAACTGACCACTACCTGGTGGTGAATTGGCTCAGATGGTGGGGGAGGATGCCGGACAGACCAGGCAGGCCCAAACATATCGCGAGTGTAACCCTTTGTTACTCTCAGAATTGATAACAAGTATAACTATACAGCAAAAATCGATCAGAAGTCTAAATTCAGCTCTGGGAGCAGAGAAAAGAAGGAGACAAAATGATAACTGAATTGTGGTTTTAAGGTACCTTATATTTGTGCAAACAAGAAATATTAGACAACAAAAAACGAATGAATGGCCATTCAGTAAATATGTACAAATTTACACAGTGAATAAATATTTCATTCGGTTCAGCGCAAGTAGTTTGGTTTCTCCTCAGTTGAGATTTCACAGTCCAGGGGGTTGAGAAAACTCCAAAAACCCAATTCAGTCCAAGGGACTACAGTCCAAAGCCGATGTGCTAATATGCATTCAAGTGACGGTGTGGGCTATCATTCACATGGAAAATCACTGGAAGAGAAATCGGCTGCTACAGGAGCCTCCTACCAGCCAACCCAGCAGAGGAGGTCCTGGAGTTCAGTTCAGTTGAGATTCCAGGTAACTCTTCAGGCTAGATGAGCCTTGACAGTTCTCAGACTGCTAGCTCGCCATCAAACCCTGGCCGTTCTGTAACCCCGCACAGCGCTCCCTTCGACCCCTCAACAGCTCTATAGTCGGCTCCTAAAGTCTAACATTATGATTACTTTTTAGTTTGCAAGTTTAATGACGAAATAGGTGAAAAGCAACCTTGTACCTGCAGCAAACGCCCAACCCGTGTGTATTCCCTTCTCCCTCCGGTAACCAAGCACTCCAGCTGTTTGATTAAATCAGCTGACTGGAGCATGTCACATGACCACACAACACACCACACTATCAGTAACCATGACGACGGAACGGACAAGAACAACACTAATGCAAAAAATAAGATTCTCAGGGATATTAAGAGGGTTTATTGCCTGGTCTTACGTCCCTCAGCTCGCTAGGAGTGATGTGAAGGAGGGAGTAACAGATGGTGTGTGTAGGTGAAATAATAACAGAGTAAGTGTGTCTCCAAACAAAGCATTTTTATTAACAAACAAAGAGCCTACAACAGGGAAAAAGGATTAACATAAAGCACCACGCCAAAAGGGCTGGGAGGAGGAAAAATATCTAACTAAAATACCACTAAATCACTGAAGTACCACGAAGCTGACACACACACAAGCACACGAGGAGAAGAGAGCAGTATGAACACTTCTGTGCCCACACTTCCCTGTACCTTCTCACTCAATGAGGACAAGAGAGCAGCTTTTAACAGCTGCTCAGATGATTATCAAATTACCCACAGCTGGGCACCGGGAGACCGACGAGGCAGAAGCCACTGAGGCCATCTTGTGGCCGAAAAGGGGCACTGTACGTAACACCTGGGCTGCACGAGGGTCTGCTGAGAACGTCTGGCAGAGTCTCCTGTCAGAAGGAGCTTCAATTCCCACCTCCGACAGAACTTCCAAAATGTTCCGGGGAAGACGGGGGACATTGAGTCTGAATGGACCCTGTTCCGTGCCTCCATTGTTGAGGCGGCCGACCGGAGCTGTGGTCGCAGGATCGTCGGTGGCTGTCGTGGTGGCAACCCCCGAACCTGCTGGTGGACACCGGCGGGTAGGGATGCTGTCAAGCTGAAGAAAAGAGTCCTATCAGGTCTGTTTGGCCTGTGGGACTCCAGAGGCAGCTGACGGGTACCGGCAGTCCAAGCGGAACGCGGCTCGGGTGGTCGCCAAGGCAAAAATCCGGGCATGGGAGGAGTTCGGTGAGTCCATGGAGCAAGACTTCCGTACGGCTTTGAGGAGATTCTGGTCCACCATCCTGCGCCTCAGGGGGGGGAAGCAGTGTCTTACCAACACTATCTATAGTGGGGACGGTGTGCTGCTGACCTCTACTCAGAACGTTGTGGATCGGTGGGCAAAATACTTCGAAGACCTCCTCGATCCCACCGACACGTCTTCCAGTGAGGAAGCAGAGTCTGGGGACTTTGGGTTGACCTCTCAAATCTCTGGTGCTGAGGTCACTGAGGTGGTTAAAAAGCTCCTCTGTGGAAAGGCTCCGGGGTGGATGAGATCTGCCCGGAGTTCCTTAAGGCTCTAGATGTTGTGGGGCTGTGTTGGCTGACGCGGCTCTGCAATATTGCGTGGACATCGGGGGCAATCCCACTGGACTGGCAGACCAGGGTGGTGGTCACCTTATTTAAAAAGGTGGACCGCAGGGTGTGTTCCAACTACAGGGGGATCACACTCCTGAGCCTTCCTGGTAAGGTCTGTTCAGGGGTTCTGGAGAGGAGGGTCCATCGGATTGTTGAACCTCAGATTCAGGAGGAGCAATGTGGTTTTTTTCCTGGCCGTGGAACACTGGACCAGCTCTATACCCTTAGGTAGGGATGGGTACCGAATTCGGTACTTTTTAAGGTACCGACCGAATTCCACAGTACCGACCGAGCACCGATTCACTTCATTTGAAACGGTGCCTCGTTTCGGTACCCGTCCTTCACAACGAGAACTTGCCTAGACAGCTGCGCATGCGCAAGAGCGTTATGTCATCGGTCGCTGCGAGCGAGTTGTAAACAGAGCAGCTCCGGTAGGTAAATAAAATGTTTAAGATAACGTTAGCTTGATTTGTTAGCTTCCGTTTCACTAATGGTGCGTTCGCTTTCTCCTCGGAACTCCGAAATTCCGACTAGAAGAACATGAAAGCGCTCTAAAGTTTGGCTTCACTTTACCAAATGCGACGGGTGATTGGGTGAAGATGAAACCAGTGACAACGATTTAAGTGTGAGGCATCATCGTTTAAATCTGCTCCAATAAACTGTTTAAGATAACGTTAGCTTGATCTGTTAGCTTCCTATGCCACCATTGTCATCATCTACGCCATCTGGTGCGTTCGCTTTCTCCTCGGAAATTCCAACTTCCCAGTAGGAAAAATCAATTGAAAAAGGACGGTAAAAGGAATGAAGATACACAGTAAATTTAGTTCACGGTAAAGATGTTTGCTTCAGTTTAATTATCAGCTTATAAAACTACAAGGACGATGTTAAAATACAAACAGTTGTATGTTATTTATCGTGATATTTATCAAATATGGTTATATATTGAGAAAAATATATATTTAATTATAAAAGAGAATTAAAAATATTAAACACTCAAAAGTATCGAAAATTGGTACAGTTAAGTACCGGTATCGATTCGTAGGTACCGGGAATTAGTACCAGATCGATTCAAATGTCAAAGGTACCCATCCCTACCCTTAGGGGGATCCTGGAGGGGTGTATGGGAACCAGTCTACATGTGTTTTGTGGATTTGGAGAAGGCGTTTGACTGTGTCTCTCGGGTGGGGGCCTGTGGGGGGTACTCCAGGAGTATGGGGTGCCTGGCCCTCTGATATGGGCTGTTAGGTCCCTGTATGACCGGTGTCAGAGCTTGTTCCGCATTGCCGGCAGTAAGTCGGGCTCGTTCCCAGTGAGAGTTGGACTCCGCCAAGGCTGCCCTTTGTCACCGATTCTGTTCATAACCTTTATGGACAGGATTTCTAGGCGCAGCCAAGGTGTGGAGGGCATCCGTTTTGGTGGCCTGAGGTCTCTGCTTTTTGCAGATGATGTGGTCCTGTTGGCTTCATCAGAACGTGATCTTCAGCTTTTGCTGGAGCGGTTCGCAGCCGAGT